AGATTACATTCTGCGAATCGTTCCCCAGACCTTCTGTATACTCAACCACGTCCATCTGGCTTCCATAATTGTTTTCTTGTTTCATCTGTAAAAAAGAATTTTCCCCATTGTTGTTCATTCCAATCAGCATGGGCTCTTGCAAATTGTAACCGTCTGAGTTGGTGACGCGGAAGAAGCCTAGTGACTCTAGCAGGACGAGAAGTTTCTATTTCTTATATTTTGGAGTCCAAATTACCGGTAACTATTTCTATAAAATGAGGGCGATCAGCTAATGTTTTAGAGAATGCTATATAGTTGGTTTTTTTGATATTTAAGAATAATTTAAAAACGTCTAAACCAGTTTTTTACATGTTCAATTCCTTTTATTGCTTGTATTTTTGTATGTCGATCTCGGTCAAGCCTTTGATGTTTAAGTTGAATAATATTGGCCCTACCGCACCTTGAGGTATACCAATTGTACATATTCAGGATTACTAAGAGGGCGTCCATTAATTACGTGAGGTATTTTTGAGGATTTTTTGACTCCCCCTCCCCCCCTGGCGAGATTTGGTAAGATTTTCCTTAACTCCCTCCCCCCCTTCCCTAATCTCGCGTGAGATTTTTCAAAATTCGTGTTTTGGGTGTAAATATGTTGGATTATTAAAAAAAAAAACAAAAACAATATGTTCCATTACTTTTATTTAAGACTAGCAAAGACTAGTGTTTGAGAGTGTTGCAATTATTTAAAATCACATTAATAAAATTAAATGATAAATACTTAAATGGAAATTAATAAAAAATAAATAAATATAAATATAAGATTTTTCCATATTTTATTCTAGAAATACTTTTACTATAATTTAACTTTACTTTCACGCAATTTTACACCGTTTTCTACTAGAAAAAAAAATTACGTGAGATTTACGAAAACCCCCCCTCCCCCCCAAGTGAGATTTAGAAATATTTAGTTTTATCCCCTCCCCCCCTTGAACACCTCACGTAATTAATGGACGCCCCCTAAGACTTTCTCTTATTTTAACTTGTTCTTTCCGAGTCAGATAGCTTTCAAAGATTTTCCACGTAGTGCCTCTTATCCAGTTTTTTTCAAGTACGTCGAGAATTTTTTGGTGTGAAACTGTGTCAAAAGCCTTTGCTAAATCTAAAAAGGTGGGTGGCGTTATATTTTTTATTGGTGTTAATTTCTACAGCTACATGAGATTACTGCAGGGCCGACGAGAGGGGGGGGGTAGCCGGAACAAATTCCCGGGGTCCGGGAACATGTAGGGGCCTGGACATATGTAGGGGCCTGGGCACATGTAGGGACCCGGTAAAATAAGTTTTCATTTTTATCAGTTAGTAATCCAAATTTTGGCGTAAAATTCCTCAATTTTAATCGACAATATGCCAATAAAAATGTATGAACTAATTGTTATCTATAATTTTAGGACGTACGAATAGAATGCCTTAAATGCCTGACTTTATTCGTCACCGTCTATCCCGATTCAGTTTTATTCCAGCACAAATCCGGAGTGCTGAAAAAGCTTGCCGAGTGTGTGGACGACAAAAAACGGTTAGTCAGAAGAGAAGCCATGGAAGCAAGAGCTTTATGGTCTATGTTAGGCGAACTTGTATGATTTAAGTTGTTATTATAGCACTGAAATAGTTTTTTTGTTAATATATATTTTTTATTAAAAGATACTCATTGTTTAACTCCTGTTTACATACTTAGGTATATTCCTACCATATTTTTCTTTTTTCCTTTACGTTTTTGAAAACGTTGTGCACTGGACTGGTTGGGACATTACATGGAAAACAGGGAACCGTAGGTTAAGGTAATTATGCTTCACATCCTTGTTAGTGGAAATAAAAATAACCATGTAGTATACCTATGTTACGCCGTTGACCCACGTGTTTAGATTTAAAATTTTATGTCACTCTCTGCTCTGTCTACATTACTCATTACCAATTGTTGTGTCGCATGATTCACATCGTAAAACTGACCACATTAGAGCGATTATAAAAAAGTGTAAAAGGGTAAAAACTATCGAAAATCGTATTAGAAATACGATAAATTGAAAAAGAAATGAAGGAATTCAGAGCACAGGTAGGAGAATAATGTTTTTCTTTTTATTTAACTGATTTTTAGCTTGCAGAAGATACTACTTTATGTGTAAATTTCTGCATTTAGACGACAAATAAATATGCAGAAGATACTACTTTATGTGTTAACGGTGCAGTCATTCATAAAATCCGTCTGCAAAACGAAAAATGCTACTTAATGTGCAAATTTCGCAAAACTTTGATGAGGGCAGATACTACTTTATGTGTAAATTCTGCATTATAGACAAAGACATGTACAGAGGAGGCTACTTTATGTGTTAACTCTGATCTTGTACAGGTTTGAGAATGGTTTTCTTCATAATTTAATTGATTTTTAGCTTGCAGAAGATACTGCTTTACTGTAAATTTCCGAATTTAGACGACATATAAATATGCAGAAGATACATCATTCATATAAGCCGTATGCAGAGCGAAAAATGCGACTTAATGTGCAAATTTCGCAAAAATTTTGTGGCGGAAGATACTACTTTATGTGTAAATTCTGCAAATAATAAATAACTATACAGAGGAGGCTACTTTATGTGTTAACTCTGATCTAATACATTATGCAAGCCCAGCTAACTGCAACGCGAAAAATGCGACTTTATGTGCAAATTTCGCAAACATTTTGTGGCGGAAGATACTACTTTATGTGTAAATTCTGCAAATAATAAATAATTATACAGAGGAGGCTACTTCATGTGTTAACTCTGATCTAATACATTATGCAAGCCCAGCTAAGTGCAACGCGAAAAATGCTACTAAATGTGTAAATTTTGTAAAACTTTGGTCGAGAAGATACTATTTTAAGTGTAAATTCTGCATTTAAGTCAAATAAATGTACATAGAATGTGTTAACTCTGTTCTTGTACTCATAAACTGTAAACTCGGCTAACTGCAACTCGAAAAATACTACTTAATGTGTAAATTTTGTAAAACTTTGGTCGAGAAGAAACTGTTTTAAGTGTAAATTCTGCATTTAAGTCAAATAAATGTACATAGAAGGCTACTTTATGTGTTAACTCTGTTCTTATACTCATAAACTGTAAACTCGGCTAACTGCAACTCGAAAAATGTTACTTAATGTGTAAATGTTGTAAAACTTTGGTTAAGAAGATACTATTTTATGTGTAAGTTCTGCATTTAAGCGAAATAAATCTACAGAGAAGGCTACTTTATGTAGTATTAGCTCTGATCTCATACTTATAAACTGCAAATTTTGCTAACTGCAACTCGAAAAATGCCTCTTAATGTATAATGTGTAAAACTTTGGCTCCAGAAGATACTATTTTATGTGCAAATTCTGCACTTAAGGCAAATAAATATACAGAGAAGGCTACTTTATGTGTTAACTCTGATCTTATATTTATAAACTGCAAACTCGGCTAACTGCACCGCGGAAAATGTTACTTAATGTGGAAATTTTAATGTGTATATTCGGCATATTATTGCAAAATAAATGTACAGAGAAGGCTACTTTATGTATTAACTCTGATCTTATACTTAGCTCAGCTAACCGCACCGCGAATAATTCTACTTAATGTGTGAATTTCGCAAAACAATGGCTACAAAAGATAATATTTCATATGAAAATTCTGCATTATAAACAAATAAATGCACAAGGGAGGCTGCTTTATGTGCTAAATCTGATCTTATACTTATAAGATGCTAGCCCGGCTAACTGCACGCGAAAAATGCTACTTTGTGAACTTCAAAAAACTTTGGAAGCAGAATGTAGGTACTATGTAAATTCTGCATTATAGACAAATAAATGTCTTATGCTTATACGCAAAAATGCTACACAAAGCTCATTGATTATATTACTGTATGGGTAAATGCTGCAAGGGTTTTTTTATCTAAAGTGTGCGAGAACTCGATTGTTACATAGCTGATGCATTTCTTGTATAAGTACTAAAATTAGAAAGACCAAGCAGAAGGCATAGTGATTGTACCAAAATGGGAAACTCAACCATCCCATGTTAAAAAAAAATGCTTTTCACGGTACATGTCAATATTAAACCTAGTTATTCATTGCAGCAACCCTTCATTTAGAACTCCTTATGACCAGAGTTCTGCCTAGGTCTCATTATAAATAGTCCCTATATATCATAAGAGATAGCTGAGGTTCCAGATTGCTTACCTGTACTCGCAGAGATATATCATCTTTTTAAAATCAAACCTTTTAACTTTTTTTTTGTATAGATATATATTTTTATTTTGTTAGTTTATTATTTATGCAAAGGTGAACAAAAATTATTTTATTCTAACTACATGTGGCTTGGAAATATTTTTATTTATGCTATAATGTAACATAAGTATATGACAATTTATTAGAAGAGGATAAATTATATTTTTATATAAAATGATTTACTTTTCCACAACATATTGAATAAAAAAGAAATTGACCTACTTGTTTAACTATTATTGAAGGAAATTATATAGAAAGTAAAAAAATATACTCAAGTTTAAATCGTTGCACTTATTTTTAGATAATTTTGTCTTACTTTGTTGTTTTAAATAAAACCTCTAATGTTAGTGCATTAATTTTTTTTTTAGAATTTCACAAATTTTATGCTTAATTATGGATTTCCAAGTTAGTATGAAGATTTTATAAAAAAACAACTCATGTTTTTTAGCAAGATGTATGCTCGAGGGCATCGTCTGTGATTTTTCTCAAATTTTCTTCTAGTTTGGCACTTGCTTGATTCTGATGTTTTTTTTTTTCAATATAGACGTACCATGTAGATGCACTTTTTATAAAACTTCAGATGTCATATACCTATTCTTCTTTAGACAAGTCTGTAGTATTTATTTTGCTTCTAAAATTCTTAGAATGTTTTCAGGTACAAAGGAAATCTAAAATACAATATTTTTAAAATGTATTTATATTTCACTTCACAATAACAGGTTCATTTCGCGCCTGATTCGAGATATGTAAACATGTATCTTAGACACGAGGGCATAATGAATTCATTTCGCCCGCTATTATGCCCCCGTTTGTACTGTTTCAAAAAACTATTTATCATCAAGAAAGACTTTTTATAAATAATAAACTTTAATTAAAATGGTTTCCTGATTTTATAAAAACTACAATTTCAATCCTAAAAACTCTCATTTTTCTATTATTGCGAATTTCAAAATGTAAGCAAACTGAATATTTGACGTTTATTTCAAAACTTTCTGTTATGTTTTATATAAATTTAATCAAAGCGTGCTACGTTGCTATGGTTAGGTGTACTTGTTGATTTTATTTCAGGAATTGTTTTGTGCGTTAATACTTGTCAAATAGTTTACACTTTTTTATAAAAATGACCCATAGCCCTCAGAAGGTCTAGATACCGCATCGTAAAAACATTTTGACCCCCCATATGATGGGCGCCATGATAAATAAATGTCAATAAATTTTAAGTTGGCACTACTGACAAGACAGAATCGGCGCAAGTTTAGTAATAAGCGTAAGATCGGCATTCGACGTATATAATCGATTTTATTATCTGTTGTGTTGTTTATTTTGTTTTTCTAGTAAAGGTTTTATTTAAAACATTATTTTTTAGTTTAGTCGTTTAGTGTTTTATTTTAATAAAAAACATTTGTGGTTTGGTGTTAAATTTTTGCAGGATTTTCAAAATCTCTTTTGTTTTGTACGTGAATGTAACAATGCATCTAACGGTAGAATATACAAGGAAGGAATAACACTTCATGTGTAAGTTTTCACAAATATTTGTGTATTTACAAAATCAAATAATTTGTATGTTTTGTTGTAGCATACAAAAAAATGTTAGGAAAGAATAACTGATAGCCATAGGAAGACCATTGAATCATTTTGTGACTTTAGTATAAGCCCAGAAAATTTGGGAATACTAGCTGAAACGGCAAATGTGTTATTGGCTCCTTGTTAGTGACCTATTGTACAATTTTTCCAACACAAGTTCCATGAACCTTTGAACTTGGCTGCACCGTACTGATGAAGACCAATAGTCAGAAAAACGTGTCGACCGTTACTTCTTTTTTACTTTTTTTTATTCGGAAAATGTCCACTATTACTACCTTGATACAATAATATTAGTTCCGTTCTAAGTAGGTACATATTATAGTTTGTATGTTTTATGCTTTATTTTATTATATGTAATAAATGATAGGAAATATACTTTTATAGTAAATAAATTGATTAAAGCAATATGTAAGAATAAGTTTATCTAAGGATTAAATTGTTAAAGCAATTTTTCATATCTATTGTTTATTAATTTGTTTCATTTAATTCTTTCTTATTGAGTAAGTTATTTCAAATAAATATGCGATACTTGTAAAATGTAATATTTTCTTTTAAATAGGTATATATTATGTTCGTATAAAATATTGTTCAGTTAATAAAAACAGAAACATTTTGTCTTTTATTCAAAAGAAGTTTGTAAATTTTTCAAAATATATTTACCTACCCCAAAAAAAGATTAATAAAACCAGTTAGTCATATACACATTTTCTATATATTTATAGGGGTACTTTTTAAATAACTTTCAATACATTCGAAATCTGT